ATATATATTTTAGTTATATTTTAATAAAAAAATTTATTATAAAATAATACTTACTTTTTTGATAACAGTTAATATATGCACAAACTTCCTATTCATTTGTACTACCATGAATTTTTTTAAATGCTATATCTATTTCAATATATAATAATTGTGCTAACTGTTCAGTTTGTTCTTTTCAAAAACATAAAACTAGATATTGCCTATCATTAAAAAATTCTAATTAAATAAATTAATTAATTAATAATAATTTATATTTAATAAATACTATATATAGTATATTAACTACTTACTAACTGAACGTATATATAGATTAGATAAGTCTTTTTGCTTTAATAATTCATAAGCAACTCCTAAAATAATAAATAATTAAATAAATTATTTAATAATTACTATATTAAATTAAACTAATATATTTACCAATTATGTCTTGACCAAATGGATATTTAGATCTTTTATTCTTTTCAATTAAATAATTTAGTCGTAACTGATTATTTAATGAAGGATGAAGACTACTTAATAATTTTTCTTGAAGATATATTTTTAATATTGGTCCTATGAAAATATAAAAATATTAATTTTTATATACTATAATATTTTAAAAACAAATAAAATAATAAAAATAAATTATATACTTGTAAGAAACTTTCGTGCAGTAAGATCTAAATCATATTCATTTTCAATAATTTTTTGTAAATTTTCAACAATATTATATAGAGTTTTAGTTAGTGGTGGTGGTGGATGATTATGAATGCCAATAGAAATTATTACAATAAATGGACATTCATTTAAATTATTTGGTAATATATGATAAAATTTTACAGGACATTGTCCTTTATTAATAAGCTTTCCTTTCATTACTTGAGTATCAGTTTTATGAAGATATGCTATTTTATAATAAATATAAATTAACTTTATAAATAAAATAATTTAAATTTTATAAATTATACTTACAGCAATAACTTGTTGTAGAAGAATTTGAAACAACTGTATAGCATTCATTAATAGGTTTATTTTCACAATTCTATAATTAAATTAAAATTAATAAATTAAATTACTATAGCTATTAATAATAAAAATTAATATTTAAATTCTATTATACCTCTCTACTAATTCCATTTGGATAATATGTATAATTTTGAAATAGTTGCTCAAGATATTCTATATTTATTCGCTGACTAATTGAAATATAGCGATGTCCTTTTTGACCAAATTGATAGTTTTGACATCCAATAAATTTTCAAATAGGTAATGTATTATTAATCTTAATTATAACAATAATAAATTATATTATATATTATTATAATAATTTATATAATAAAAAATTTTTAATTTAATAAAAATAAATAATTATTAATTAATATAATATACCTGTTTATATTCTCTAAGTACAGAATTTCCATTGCAGTGAACATTAGTAATTGAATCAATATAAGAACATGGTGTATTATAAGCCTGAGCATATGTACTAAAATAAAAATAATATTTTAATTTATTAAATAATATAATTAACAAATTAAATTAAATATTATAATTTACTTACTTAAGAGTAAAAGTATTAACAGAAAATTCATTTGCATCAAAGATTTTTTTATATAGCTGATCTTCAAAATTAACTGAAGTATGTTCTATATTAAGAGTTGCTGAACTAAACTCACATATTTTAACACTATGACATGAGCGATAAGTTTTTTGAACACGTACTCCCAAAAATAGATATATTTGAATTGATCGAATATTTTCAAGATCCCCATAAGCATATTGAATATTTGATAGACCAAATACTTTTTTAGCTTCTTCAGGTTTCCAACTAGAGACATTATAAATACTAGCAATACCAGTTAAAGAAGTCTTTGGATATTCTTGAAATTCAAGATAATAATCAACTTGATCAACAGTTAAATTTCAGCCAAATTTTGCAAATATTACTTGAGACTAAAAAAAAAATTAAATAAAATATATTAAATAATTAATTAATCATAAATATGACTTCACGGACATAGATGTCTGTGAAATCATGTAATACTATAATAATAAAAATTAATTTCAATATACCTCAACTTTATCTTCTAAATTTTCTACAAGTATATTATCATTTATTAAATTATCCAAAAGTATATCATCATCTTCCCAATTACTAGAATTCTCACTTTTAATGATTTGTAAATTCTATTTAACAATATATTTTTTATTAATTTTTTTATCGAATACTAATTATTAAAAAAAATAATGCAAAAAAATACATTTTCATAATTTATAAGAAATAAGCTTTTTGTTGATTCCTTTAATAAAATATAAAATATTAATTTATTATTGTAATATTAATATATAAAGTAATTTGAAATAAAATTACTATTGGTAGCTCATCGTCCGTATCAGAAAGAACAATTAACTCTGGTTGACTTAAAATATCATTATTTCTTGCTAGAAAACTTGTATCAAATGTATCTTTAATAGCATTAATTGAATCAAGTTGTGTTGTTTTTACTGATGAACTTGTATCGAACTTGTTAATATTCATAATTATTAATAACGATAATGTTAAAGAAATTATTGAATAAAAAAGGTTTAGATTTACAATTAATATTTTCTTATATTGGCAATAATTTAATACATATTGGATCATTAATACGTATTTAACAATTGTTAATATTTTTTTTATGTAATAATGATAATAAAAATCATATGATTAGATGATAAAATATTTGATTATCACTATACAAATCATATAAACCAAACTACTGAACCTATATATATAATGTACTATATCGATATATTAATCACCGTACAGATTATTATTCTCACTCGGATCTGTTTATTGTTCGAAGAAGATATACTATGGGAAGTATACTATGCTGCGGCTCTTTATTTATATATTTTATATATATGCGTCAACATATTACATTATGAGAATAATTGTAAATAATACTGTTAATAAAATATTGTACGAAGGTCACATGACGAAGATTTACGAGAATTAGGCATATGTATGGTATGCTGCATTTAGAGAGATAGCTCACGCTAGGTGCAGTGTATCAAAAGTGAATACCCATTTCGAAAAAATAGATAAATATATATAAGATAAATTTTGTTGAGCGATGGGGAGCAAGTTACGAAGCAGAATTATTATTATTTTCTTATTTCTCTTAACATTTTTTTTTTTTTTTTTTTTTGCATGTCCCCAAGCATCTCACATTTACATGTCTAATTTTGTTTGACTTCCCTTTCCTTTTCTCTTCATTTCCTTCCTTCCTCTTTTTTTTTTTTTTTTTTTTTTGGAGGGGGGGGGGGCCAGGAGGGACCACAGCACGAAAGAGCTAGAACAAAGTCGAGCAATGAAGAAAAAAGGCACTGCTGATCCTAAGTTCTACAATTTCCCTTTTTATAGCCATTTCATGTTTCAAATTTGTTCTGGGGTTGGTCCAGAGGTGATCCTCATGATAATAACCTTAGCATGACTATTGTCATGCATCAGGTCATTGTTCTCACTCAGATCTGTTTATTGTTCGAAGAAGATACACTATGGGGACAAAAAGAGAATCGTGAGAAGGTATATATGCAAGTGCAATAATCTTATTTTTCTCCCAATGTTAACTATCATGATATTTCAAATTTACTATTATTATTGTTATTTCTTTCTTTTTTTTTTTTTTTTTTTTTTGCCATAATAGGTGGTTGTATCCTGCATTTTTAATCCAATCTCATTTCATCAATTAATTTCTCAGTAATTATCTGTTCCTAATTTCATTTATCAATTAATTTCCCAATTATCATTTGTTTTTTTTTTTTTTTTTTTTTAGGATGTCTTATTTGTCATTTGGTTGTTTTCGTTTGAAGTTTTTTCCCTTCTTTTTGTTGTTGTTTTTTTTTTTTTTTTTTTGGGGGGGTTTTTTTTTTTTTTTTTTTAAAACCCCATTTTTCCTGATATGTTTTGTATTGCTGTAGAGAAGGATCTGAGGTATAGTGCCACTGCTGAGACAACTATCCACCTATGCTCATAATCTGTGGTAGTATCAGACCCGCCTTAATTGCACTAGTTGCCCCACCAATTTTTAGACTGTGTCCTGAGTATTTTCTACCTAGTTTAGCATAGTGCGCCATTCTTTTTACAGCTGCATTTATGTTTCTGTTGACATACGTTTCCTAGATACATTTAAAAATAAAAATTCTTGACTTTTGACCCTCCTTCTTTCCTTTAGGTATTCGTTGACCAGCCTTACAGGGCAATACAATGAGTTCGTCAGGTCTATGGGGATGAACTTATCTTTAGCATATTGATCAGTTTTGGATCTGTTTATTCTGACCCAAAAGAGCCCTCTGTCCATCTTTATGTCTGCTACACGAAGATTGCACAGTTCAGCAGGTCTTCGCATAGTACGAATACCCAGTGCAATCATAGCACAATCTCATTTCCATATTAACTTGGCAGCATTTTGGAGCGGGTTTTCTACATAGTTATGAAGGGCTTCTACTGAGAAGGGGTCCCGTAGCCATACTGCTTCTTTATCAATTGCTGCACATTTCATTTGGTTGAGGGCTAATCGCTGGACATTAAAGTTTAAGGTTAGGTCTAGGAGCTCCAATCTAAGGTGATAATAGCTAATAGCTACCAAATATAGGCATGGTTTGACTAGTTTTCATAAGAGGCTAAGCCAGGTTAAAATTATTAATAAAGAGTCAGGGTGGGCCGGGCACGGCCTTAACTCGTGACTTAAGCAAAAGGTTACAAATTCCTCCTACAAACTCATGAGTCATTTTTCGTACAATGATTCAGGTGCTATCATTTCATGTGCTTTTTTAAGTAAAGCTTCTAGAAACAGATTTTTACTGCCTGAAATCTCCAATGTGGGTTCTTCCATGGTTCTGGTAGTATGTTGCTCCATGGGTTTGGTAAAAAACAGTTGACTGCCGGCAGCAGATCCATTACTTCGGTCTGTTTTTGCAGAAGGGTTGGCCACCACGTGGCTGATTGCTATACTGGTATAACTATTGTTACTACTGTTTGGGTTTGGGTTATATGTTCAAACACTTTCTGGATTAGACTTAATGGGGAGCACACGTAGTTGCTTTTGTGTTTCCAATCCTGGGTGAAACAGTCTGTTGCATCTGCTTCGGAGCAGAAAAATTGGCTGTTGAAACACGCCACCTTTCTTGTTTGGTAGCTGGCCATCCAGTCCACAGTAAAAGGTCCCCACTTTGCATTTATTTGTGTGTATACGTCCTGAGTCACTTCCTAATTGGAATCGTCGAAAAATTGTGTCAATTCATCTGCTAGGTTTAATTTTGACAGCACCCATTGAAACTTGTGGATCTGCACATCGTATTCGTCGCAAAAATCCCAGACCTGGCGCATTATTTCCTTTTGCCATGGCCTTTTCCCTTCTGATTCTATTGTCTTCCGAGCTACGCAGTTGTCTATATATATGATGACCCAATGATATGTGATTATATGGGCAAACGACTCGAGGCCCAGTAGGGATGCTGTTGATTCGAGGTGAGTGATATCCGTATGCTAGTGGTGGTAGTTCCAATTTCCAAATGCTCGCATTTTGCCTATAGTTGCAGACCAACCCGTTGTTGAAGCATCTACATATATCAGGATTATTCGTAAAGGTTTCCATGCAGGACTTCCATTTTTTGTCTTTATATTTTCCTATACCTATTTTATATCTACAATAGCTTGGCATGTTAGTTGTACCAGTTTGTCCCATTTCCAAGGTCTTCGATTTTCTGTATCGATTATTGCGTAAAATTCTATACAACGGGTTTTTGCATATGCGAAGGCCTAGTCTAAACTCATTATCTGGCCTACTACAGATAATAGACGTCGTGATGTTAGGGGATTTGTTAATAAAAGGCTTTGAAGATTTGTTAAGGCGGTGTTTATTTTGGATTTCGGTGCGATAACTAGCCCTGTTACCATGTCCAAAACCAATCCATAATACTTCAGTTGTTGGGTTGGTTCTGGTTGTCCTTTTTCGGCCAGTATAAAGCTGCAATTTTTTAGGTCCTGAAATATTATCGAGTTCCTTATCTAGATCAATATTTCTCGACACGAGTGGGCAACCCATATATCGTTGAGGTGGTTTCTACAAAAAATTCCTAATGCCCTCTAGTGACCAATTAGTGGTCTCATTATTTTCGCGAAAGTCTATACTGCCAAGCTTAGGCCAAATAGTAGAACTTGGTAATAATACCAATTTCTCCCCACTTTGAACTCCAATAATCTCTGGGCTTTTCCATCTATCATTACGTGGTGATAGCCTTCTTTTAGGTCCAACACTACTACCTACTAATCTTTTTCTGTCATTTTTAAGAATGCCTCGAAACCTTCGAATTTAAATGTTTTTTCTGGGAGTGTTTTGTTTAGGCGTCTGAGATCATAATTAGATACCATTTCTTTGGGCCAGATTTTGGGGTCAGAAAAATTGGGCTTACTTCAAGCAATTGTGGTGGTCTGTTTAGTGAATTCAAGACATAGATTATCACTTCTATCATTAGTAATCTCTTTACTTCCGAGTCTAACCAAATTGTTTGGTTTTTTGTTAATATGTAAGGAGACGGGTCTGGTTGTAATGTCAAGTTTAATAACCCTTTTGGATATAACGGGATGCTATTTTTTAACCAGCTTAGGACTAATTTTGGTGCTTGAATTTTTTGTTCTCAGTAATTTACGTTCATTGCAAAATGTAGTCGCCTTACAACTGGTATTTCTTGTTAGGCCCGAGTGTAGTCAGTCGCGTTTGTTATCGTCATGGGATCCAGAATATTTATTTTTGTAGGTTGTATAACCTCAAGAACGGTAACCAAAGTTTCTTTCTTGCTATTGACTGGTATTTTTATATGGGTCTGAGGAACATGTATTTGCGAAGTGCCCTGAGCCACCGCAGGTGTAGCATTTATTTGGTTAGTTTGAAATTTCATTACGGGGTCAGTAATTGGCACGAAAAAACTGTCCTTGGCCGTAGGTAAGGTTTTGGTAGTTATTTTGGTATCTAGTTGAAAAGTTATTGGGGTAACGGTTTTGGTAGGTAAGTTTTTTATGTAGGTTATTGACACTTTCCATTGGGCCTATTGTTTTTCTTCGTTTATTTTTCTTTGCATCCGCAATAGCCTTTGCTTTCTCTATTATTGATTTTTTGCCTTTTAGCAATTTATCTTGTGTATTTGGTAATGCAGCAGTGATGTTCTATCCAAATCCTTCTGCTACGCGCAATATAAACCTCCTATCTGCAGTTAATTCTCGTGCTCTCAGAATATGATTTGTAATGTCTGTCACTGCTTTAGATTCCATTGCCAAGTCTAATTCTTTCCCAATAGAATATAGCGTATTATACTCAAACTGATCACATGACCTTTCAAATTTATGATCTGGCCATGCTTCATTATTGTTGATTTTTTGCATTTGAGCTGTTACTGAATTTAGTTTATTATCAAATCCTGCCATAATGCTCCTTAGGTTTCTAAGTTCTGATACCATTAGACCTTCTAGAGAGTCTGGATGATCATAGTCAATGTCTTCAGGTGATTGTCATTTGTTTTTTCCTTTTGAATACGTAGTTTTTCGGTCCTTTCCTTACATAGAGTTTAGTTCCGTGGTGCTCTGATGAGCCACTGAGGATTTTGCTATGTTGTTATATCTGGTTTTTAAGGCACGTTCCCTTAAAGTTTGGATCGGGGTACTTTCTTCGTCCAATTCTAGATCGGTTTCATAATTTTTTTCTCTAGTCATGTGTGTGTTTTCATCATCATCAACATAATCTCCTTCAACCATTATGTCATTTGTTGAATCTAATAAAACTGGGCTTGCTAACACCCTTGCTGAATGTATTTTCAATCTTTGTACTAGGTCTGCCTTTACCCCTTCGGTTGGAAGACCAAGGTTCCGACAAATATCTTCTAGATTGTTCTTAGATAGGTTTGAATCTGCTATGGTGAACACGTGATTTTTGTATATTTATATGTGTTTTTTTTTTTTTTTTTTTTTTACTGAGCAAGCGTTTTAAAATTAGTAAGTGCTTTTGAGTTTGGAATATTCTTATATTGCTTAAGTACGTATTTGTCTTATATTGTTTTAGTACGTATTTCTCCCCCTCTTTTTTTTTTTTTTTTTTTTTTTACTATTTGATATTTTGTTATATATTTCGTTATATATAAATATATCTGATATATGTATCGTTATATATATATATTTGTTATATGTTATATGTATGTTTTCTTGTTATTTCTTGTTTTTCTTTATGAAGAGGGGCGCCACAGCACGAAAGAGCCAGAACAAAGTCGGGCAGCAAAGAAAAAAGGCACTGCCGATCCTAAGTTACACAATTTCCCTTTTTATAGCCATTTCATGTTTCAAATTTGTTCTGGGGTTGGTCCAGGGGCGATCCTCGCGATAATAACCTTAGCATGACTATCGTCATGTGTCAGGTCATACAGTACCAACCAAACTACCGTACCATACCGAACATATGTATACTCATAAGAACATGCCAATTAGCTAGTATTTAATATAATTATTTCTTTAAGATTATTTAATCTAAAGATTACTTATTATTTTTCGCCATTCTAAAGTATTTTCGACATTCTAAAATATTTATGACATCCTAAAATATATAAATAATTTTTGCAACCTTAATTATCTTAGCCATTATAAATTATTTACGGTTTAGACTATCTAAAATAATTTTCGCCATGAACAAAATAATTTCGACCCCCATCTATAACCGTATCCGATGTATTTTATTTATAATATTCAGTCTGCAATCGAGTGTGCAATTACATAATTTTCTGACCTTTGTTATAGAATTGTATATTACTAAATCAGAAAATTTTTTCCAAGACCTTGATCTCAACAACAACTGCCTAACAAATTCAACAAAAAAATTTTTTTATTTGAATTCTATGAATTTATAGAATCTAAATAAATAAAAATTAATTTTGCTAGGTGGATATTAAGATATCTTTGATAAAAGTTTTAAAAAATTTCAGATAACAAAAATACAAGTCGATAAAAAAAGTTCCATAACTTTGATCAAAGTTTCTCAGCAACAACTTAAACAAATTCGATTAAAAATTTTTTCAGATCAAAGTTTTAAAAAAGTAATCATTATGCGTAATATTTCTCACGTAAGCATAAGTATCATATGATATTTTAACAATTTTGTCACCTAAACCAATCACATTATTGTATAATATACTTTGCTCCCTATTAACCTAAAAATAATTATTTAACCAACTAATTAACTCCGAGAGACTCAAAATTAAAATTTTGAAAGCTTTAAACAGGAAGTTAATTCATCATAATAGTAATTTAGGAATAGTAAAATTAAATATTAAAAACAATTAAATTAATAAGTTATTATATACAAATTTTTATATTAATACAAAACTTTTTTAAAAAAAGTAATAAAAACAATTTATTAAAATTATTATCTAAAAGTATTAATCAAATTTAAACAATATAAGAAAAAATTATAATAAAAAACAAAATTATAGAAAAATTATAGAAAAATAATAAAAAATAAATTAACAATGAAAATAAAAAATCTCACACAGCAGCAACTATACACATTGACAATCAATGTGGAGATAAAAAAAAAATGTATGTAAATATTCAAAATACAAATGAATACCAAGTGTATTTAGTATTACTAAGTTAATTATGCATTAAAAGAACATCTTTGGTCGTGGAAATACCAAATGCCCACTCCTGTAAATACAGCGATCCATGAAATAACAAATGGCATAAAGGATTTATAATTAAGTACTTCGTATTTACTTGGTGGAATTGGAAAAAACGACGTCACTGCAAGAAAAATTGTACATAATAAATATAATCCGACAATAAATTTAGGTGCTTTAAAATTATTATATTGAGTATCTTGCAAATTGTTTCGTATGACCTAATATAAAATTAGTAAATTTTTAAGATAAATTGATTAAATCAATTAAGATAAATACTTCATAATCAATTAAACTTACAAATAAGCAAATTGCGCTCACACCATAAAATATCACTGTTAAATATTGGGACATATTGGAAAAAAATAAAAACAAACTTGAGCCAGCTGGAAAGAGAAGGATTAAAATTGCGCAATAAACAAACTGCAAACTTAAAGCATTAAGCGGAGTGTCGAATGTTGGATGCCAAATATATAATTTATGAGAGTATGGCATAAAACCAGTTTGGGCTGCATAAGTTATAACTCGAGATCCCCTATTTACGTAAGAATCTTTTCAGTTTTATATAAATACATTAAAATATTTTATCAATTATATATTTTTCATAGCCTTACATAAAAACCAATGACCCCACACATCCGAGAGCAGAAATTGAAATAAGAATTGAAATAAGTATTCTTCCTGGTTCACCAAGCAGAATGCGCCCAAAATTTATAGCCATAGGGTCATTAGAGTTAATAGCATCCTTAGGATTGACTACCGTTATAAACGCGACATTAGTTAAAAAATCTGTAATAAAAAATAATAGTTAATAAATAACTTAATTTTGAAAATATGAAAATATGAAATTAAAGATTTAAATATACATAACTTACAAAGTATAAAAGAAATAATCACACTAGATAGAGTAGAATATTTCAATTTCGCTGGAGATTTGAATTCCTCAGTTGAGTCTAATATAAGTTTATCATATGTAAAATATAATCTATTTTTAATATTAAAATAATAATTTAATAAGTAATCTTACAATTTAAATTATTCCACCCTTTGGTTAAGTAAAAAAACGCGTGTTATTAATATTAATTTCAAAATTAAATTTCCAAGAACTTTAATAACCACCTTCATATGCAAACAGGACCTATGTTTAAATTTCAAATAAGTTTAAGTTAAAATTTTAACATCCACTAAATGATATAAATTACCTCCAACAAAGCACTGCTATAACTTCCAATCTGTTCTAAAAGAGATCGTTGATATGTATCATCTGTTGGTGTATTTTGAAAAATTCCATTCCAATGATTTCTAAAACTAGTTTCTTTTAACTCTATTAAACCAATTATTGAAATGACTAGTAGTATAATAAATTTAATTATGGTAAACGTATTATTAATTCTGATTGCTAATATACTAGAGCACGAATGATAAACAGTGATAATTAATAAAATAGCGATAGCTAAAGACCGCAGTATTCTAATGTATAAATAATAATAAGATTAAAATAAAACATGCAATGTAAGTCAAAACAAAATAAAATTTAACTTACAAATAGTCTTTCCCAAAATATTCATTATCATTTCCATAAGTTCCTTTACAAGCGTAAAAAAGAAATGTAGCAGATGCATAGGAATCAGCTATAATAGCTCCCGGAAGGATTATACTTTTTTCAAGAATTAAATTTGTGGTCATTATTAACGTTAAGCGGTTATAAAATTAAAAATTACAGACTCTTTTAGGCGCTAATGTCGGGTAATCATATACTAATCACTTGATTTTAATTTATTAATTAATAATCAAATTTATATGTCTACCTGGCTTTAGTGCATCTATTGTTTAAAGAGAAAATTTACCACAAACACATCCCACCTTTCAACCACCAAAATTATTTACATACTTAAGGAGAATAAAATTATTTAACATTAATGTGTTGTGTTTTAAAATGTTTAATATTCAAGTTTTTAATAAAGAAAAGGTGGGGTGGCTATGTTGTATCTGAAGTAGCTACTTCAGAATCTGAAGCAGAACCTGACTAAATTAAGCTCCTGAAATTATGTAGCTACTTCAGGTACCAACAGTACGTAAATGATTTTGATCATTATGCTGGAGGGGTTAGAATTCTTGACAATTCAGATCATTATCATGACAATTCAAAATCTCAATAGTTATTGTCATGTCAAAATTGTATGGGCGAAAATACATGATTGAGGTATTGAGAACTTATAACTGACCATAAGAGTTATATAAAAACTGATAAGTGCTTATAAACTATCAAATAAAGTGACTCTAAAGAGCTTAAAAATGTTCATCAAAACTGATATGTCTCATATATGATTAGATCAAAATTTATCTTTGGCTTAAATAAATTTGAACATTTTCGCCCATACGCGCCATATCCAAATCTTAGTATTAATTCATTAATGATTTGTCGGGATAATATAAGAATTTCAAGATTTGAACTATTTTGTGTTTCGGTCAAAATCTTCTAAAAGTTTCCAATATCGAGATATTGGATAGTACTTAGTTATAAATTCGCGTGCATACATACATTATCATAACAAAACTAAATATATGCCCAAAATTACGTATATTAGGTTTATTAATGAAGACTTCTTCGAGATATTTTTGTTCCCCTGATCCGCTAGGAAACCTAGATCCTAACTAAATCATTAAAATAAAGTATAACATAAATATTTTAACTAATAATACTTGAATGAGATGTTTTTGATTATTTTAACGTCAATTTTTACCTCGACATAAATCATGCTGCCAAATAAACTTAGAAATCCACCAACAATCCAAATAAATAGAGCAGATCCTGGTGATTGTGCATGTCTCAATACACTACTAGGAGTTACAAAAATTCCTTATCAAAGTGAAAAGAATAATGAGCTTCATTGCAGATAACTAATTATTAATTAAATAAAAGCCAAATACGTACCAGCACCGATTATGTTATTTAAGTTAAATCCCAATCCTGAAAAAGTATTAATTACTTTATCCCGATCTGGTATATCTGGTATATCTCGTATATCTGATATATTATCATCCTGTTGTTGCGGATTTGGAACATCAACAAAACTCACTTGATTCATATTTGAAAAGCAAATATAACATTAACGTTAAGTAAATATTCATATGTATTTATACGTACAAATAAAATAATCAATTTAATTTGGGAAAAATCCCGAATTATTATCCGTAAACCTTACACAATCTTTATAAGGTAAGTATAATGAATAGAAATTTCTACGTACGTACGAACTTTATTATAGTTTTTGTTCAATATTACACAACCCAAAATATTGTAAACTTAGATTTATAAAAGTTAGTTACTTCTTTGTTTACCTACCCACCTCGAATCCGGCGTAACACAAATTCACAAAATTCAAGAATAAGAATTCATATTATTGTTCGTCATGGAACCTAATCTCCATGGCCAACAATACAACTGCGTCTAATACTGTAGTATAGGGTCGTCGAACAAGCCAAATTATGTCACGTGACAGACTTTCCGAGCATCGTATAATCTTTTACTTTACTTTTTTTTGGGGGGGTGCGGTGGGGTCGCTGAACACAATGTCGAGTAGTGAAAATCAAGAACAAAGAAAAAAAGATCATCTAGTTACTCAGATATTAAATCTCCGAATTCAAGTCCAGTGACACGAATATATTAAAAATCTCAAGATATCACGATAATTACCTATTAAAATTTAATAATTATTTTTTAAATTAATTATAAATATTCCTATCATCAGAATAAAAAAATTTTTGCCGATTTCTGATTAAGTTTAGTTGTGATAACTACGCTCAAGTTAGTAAACAATTCAAACCGCCTATCAAAATATAAGCTGCGCCAAATTTTTTTAAAACTTTAAGCGAATACATCTCGACAACCACCACACCCGATCAAATTTGATTAATTTTTTTATTATTTGAATTCTATGGATCTCTAGAATTCAAATAAAAAAATTTTTCATCGTATTTGGTCAGGTGATTGTTGTGATATCTTCGCTCAAAATTTTAAAAAAATTAACACAGCTTCTATTTTAAGGCCGTTCCAAGTTGAATTTTAGGTTAACGTCATCCCCCCCTGCCCTTTAGCTGTCCCCCCGAAAATTAAACAAGCCAATCATATAACAGAATTTACTTAAAAACAAGGCGCACGAGAAATTCCGATATAAACAGTCATGATCCTCGGGAAAAATCGTGAGAAAACAATATTCTGGTGTTTGTTTAAAGTTAGTGTTTGTTTAAAATTTATCCTCCCCCCCTCATGCCTGGGCCCAAAATTCTGACGTTAACATAAAAATCAACTTGGAATGGCCTAATAGACGCTTTGAATTGTTTACTAACTTTGAGTGAAGATATCTTGACAACCACCTGATTAGTGTTTGTATCCGATCAAAAAAAAATGCTACCTGGGTTATCTGACGGGTGAACCCGCGGGTTACCCGAGTAATCGACGGATATACTCATATAAAAAAGTTTCGATATACCCTGTTAGGATCTAAACTGTCCCCGAGCCCAAAACTACGGTTCATTTTCTTATTTTTATTTGTATTATCCTCTTAGTTTAAGTGAGGCTTGAAGGAAAAAGGAATGTGGCTTGTCACCAGATTAGGGAATTAGCTTAGTAAATTGAAGCATATATGCTATGGAAAATTATGATCAAAGCATATACGCGCTATATGATGAGTTGGCTGAGGGAAATTAGAGCATATACATGATATAATATAGAATGTATACGCTTTAGATAGTAAAGCACATACACGATGATAGTAAAGCACATATGCTGTGAGGCTTTAGGAGTAGTAAAACTATCCTATATGAAAGTGAAATATATAAATATAGATCCTCTTGACCTTCCCAAATATTAGTTATCGAACAGTAATTAATTAACAAAATAAAATAATAACTGTCACCTTGTTTATTCCAATTATTTTAAAAATGAATAAAGAATCTTTTCCACTTATTAAAAATCAATTTCTTATGACCATTATCTAAAGTATCATAAAATAGCACACTGCCTATCCTAAAATATCATAAAGGAATTAAGCATTGAGGCCCCTTAACTATATTAACTATATCACAACCTCTATCAATTATCCTGTTAATTAGATCATCTCTTGTTAATACTTCCAATATCCCTTTCTATATCATCTCTAATATAGATTAATCTAGCTTTGTAAAAATTTTATAGATTTTAATTAAATTTTGAAAAACTTTTATTATAAACTTGTGTTCAATTTTGGAAATACGTATACTATGCAAATTGATCTACGTATGTATAGTACACCCTACCCTTAAATTTAAAAGAATTTATAATTCAATAACTATATATTTTTCATATAACTAATTAAAAATTAATGCTATCATTTGTATTATTGAATGCTAATTTCGGGGTTTCAAACAAAATAAATAAGGTGAAAAATGAAATATTATATTTACGAATGTAAAACCTTAATAGCAAACGCGTTAATTAGAGATATAGCACATTGTATTATTTCAAATAGGAACTTAATTTAAAAATCTGATTTAATATTGGATTGACAGAACTAAAAATATTGAAACACTTCATAATCTTCTATTAAAAATTCACTTCCTTCAATTTTGATCGATTTTTCGTAATTAGCCTTAAAACATCCCCAAAATTTTTCATTCTTTCTAGACATATATAAATCTAAAAAGCCAAAAGACGGGCCGAAATTTTTCTTACAGCAAATTGCTTTATCCCTAATTTTTATTCTGCTAAGCGTAGAATTTAGTTGATCATTTGTTCCTAAAGAAAAAATAAAACTAGCATCAGTTTCCTTATATTTCCTCCTTTTAATTTCTTTCCAGTTCAAAGGATTGTATCCACCAAGAATCTCACCCGTCTTTTGAGCCTTTAAGACAATTATTGTATCAACTATATCTTTACATTTGTTGTAAAAATCGCTTGCTTTAAATCCATCTCTGCTACCTCTAAAGATTAATTTGAGTTCATGTTGAACATCCTGAGGCGAAGGATCAATCCAAGAAATTATCTCTTTTACATGTTCAGCAGTAATTATAGTTGAAAATATATCATTTGATTGAGGTATTTCACTATTTTCGTAAGCTTGAACTTCCTTAGCAAACGCTTTTTTAAAACGTAATGTCATACTTCTTTTATTCTTACCATTAGGAGGCTGGATACTTTTTAAATCTTCAAGAACAAATTTTATTTCTGGACGTTTTTTAGGATCTTGATCCCAACAACGTTGGTAAAGTTTAATATAATCACTTGGTGTATCTTCCACGGGAGTTTCCCTTTTCCCTTTATAAATATATACAATAATTGCACCGACATTGTCAAAATAATCGAAAGGTGGCCTACCACTAGAAATCTCCCAAAGAATTACTCCTAAACTATATATATCAGATCTCTTGTCACATTTATATGAATGATTTTTAAAGCATTGAGGTTCCAAATATCCGCACATTCCACCAGCTTTAACCATTGTTACTTCGTCCATATGTTTAGATACTCCAAAATCAGCAATTAACATATGTTTATCATGAACTAAAATATTCTTTGAATGCTATTGAAAAATTTGCATAAATAAATTTAGTTCAAAATAATTAAATATTTAACTTAAAAAATTCTTACAAGATCTCGATGAAAAATTCCATTATTATGTAGAAATGATAGCCCCTCAGAGATTTCTTGTGCGAAATGTAGTTTATCGGACCATTTTAATTGTTCAAAGTTTTTTTTTAAATACTCTCGTAAATTTCCATCCTTTGCAAACCTTAAAATTAAGTTATACTGATTATTTGCGGGATCTGTTTAAAAAAAAAATATGAAATATTAACATTGATTTAAAGATAATAATAATAATTTTTAAGTAATTTAACGACTTTTTATCCGTTCAATACCTTTAGTAACCCCGTAAAATTGAATTATATTTGGATGTTCATGTTTATCAACAGCAGCAAATTTTAAAAGCTATATATTATAAGAAATAAGATATCAAGTGTTATTAATGTTTATTACGGTAACAACTTAATCCAATTAATTGAATATATATACCTCATTAACGAATGCTTTAATATAAATTTCATTTTTGGTTTCATTGTTTATAATTTCATTGACATTAATTTCGGTGGCATTAATTTTGTTAGCAATAATTTCATCAGTGATAATTTTGTTAGTGTCAATAATTTCATTATTGATAATTTTGTTAGTATCAATAATTTCATTATTGATAATTTTGTTAGTATCAATAATTTCATTATTGATAATTTTGTTAGTGTCAATAATTTCATCAGAAATAATTTTGTTAGTGTCAATATTTAAGCTTTTGAGAATAACCGTATTATCTCCCCATGTCGCTTTGCGAACAGTTCCGAATGAGCCTTTACTGATTTCCTTAAAATTATCAAATAAGTTGTAATCATATTTTATAATTTCATTCCTTTCATTAATAGTTTTTTCAATTAATTCATTCAAAGCATATGTCATAATTTATTAATTGTTTCAAATTCAAGTGCTTACGTACCTATTTGTATTTATAAGGAAGTTAGTGAAGTGATACTGTACAGTAGTACAGATTTATACAAATGCTGAGATTCTATTGGTCCGAGATAATGTTCTTAGACTTTGAGTTGTCGTGAATTTTATAATAACGATAATATATAATTATTAATTC